TACCCCTTTGAATGTAGGAAAGATTCTCTTTGAGAAATACATTCGGTGCAAATATTTGAATCTAAACGACGTACTGCTCCATTTGCGACTGATCCACAGACCGTCGACCTAGTAGAAAAGAAAGTGATAGGTTGTTATCTTCAAAACTCCATAACACTCTTCCAGCGAAACGCTTCGCAGATAAGAGATTTGAAAATAACGGCTAAAACTCCATTTGACAGTGTACGTTTCGTACACTGTCAGAGGAAGTTTGAGTCCGAATCGACTAGATATTTCGCGTACGTTTGGTTATCATATTACAATGTGCGATGTTTTTTCTAGTAGTGAAAACTCAATATATCAAAATGAAATTCGTATTACTCTCAGTTAAACTTTATGAATGAAGCAAAAACAACTGTTCTTCTCAGTAATTTCCTTTATATAATTTCCCTTTAGCGTGAGACTCCTTTGCTCTGCACTTTCTTTTAGACAATGTCGCCTCAGCATTTCAAGAAAAGAGGTGCATTTGGAAGTCCAGAAGCCGTTTTCTCATCTCTTCCCACTTTCAACACTTTTGCAAAGCCATCCTGCGATTTTCGAAGCAAGCAAAGAAGCAATTGTGTTCAATAAGAGCTATACTATGCAAAATTTTCAAAAGTACCTGCTTCAACGCTAAGAGAGTACGGATCCCTAATCGAAGAAGTGTCCCGTCCGTTAAAGTGCCCACTACAGTGCATATCCGTGCTAAATCAGCTCCACACATCGTCATCACTATATACCTAGAAAAATATTTCATTAATGAATTTGAGGCAGAAGCAAGAACGTATGTTTCATTAATATTTTAAGGATACGTACGAATAGGTATCAGTTGTACCCATTGAGATTAGCTGCATTGTTCCCTTAACTCCTTTGAAGCCTTGGAGAACGTTCTTCTCCATCTTCAGTACACGTTCTGCTTGAGCTTTGCTTTCTGCCTGAATGCAACAACTACTACCTTTATTGTAGACTATTTGGATGGAGCATTACCTTTAAAGCAGCCTGTACTCCATTTTTGATATTGATAACATGATAAACGTGGCCATACGCTCCTTTACCAAGCAAACGAATTACTCCCCATGTATCTCTTATCAACTAAAAACTTCGCACGTTTGAATTTTTACAAACGAATTATTCTCTTTCAGGAGGGGCTTCGAAATTCCCTACCCAGTCCAAAAATGCAGAGAGATAAATCCGTTTTGTTATAATTGCAAGACTAATAGTCATTCTCAGTCCACTAAGAGATGGCTAGCTTTCGTTGGGAATAATATGGATATTTTACAAGTTGTTGGGTGGCTTACTTGGTTCCAAGATCCTGGTCCATAAAGGTCAGCGACTACCTATGGACAAACCAAGCACGCTTAAACGACCTGCTCGAACCTGGAGGAGAACTGTTTCTCCCTGGAGCACGGAAAAAAGCAAAAGCTTGCAGACCAGTCCCATCCTCACCATTATATAGCATCAAGACCAGTAGTAGGTTGTTAATGACCATATGCACCCCCAAAAAACGTGTCCACTTTTCATTATGAGGTGTGATGCTCTGCATGCAGCGCGCCGGATAGTTACTGAGCGCCAACTTTCATTCCTGATAGCGGCAGAATGCATCCTACATGTGATCGATTTGCATTAAAATAAGACAAAAAAAGACGTAAGACATCTAAATGATTGCAGATCTTCGTAAAAGAGTGTGGGCGGGCAGACTTTCTTGCATAGACATTTGTAGTCCATAATCAGTGCATACAGTCAGTAACAATCGTCTTCGGATGATAAGGAAGAAAAGAACTGCTGAACACTCTAACATCATTTGAATGAATACGCTCGTTATAGATATATTCGGAGGAGTGAGTAATTTTTAAACAGCTGTTTAAATATTCGAAGGATTGGAAATCCTGAATATTCAACTGTTTGAAACATCGGATAATTAGGCATAACAGAATTTCATATATAGTGCGTTCTTTCGAACAACTTGCAAATAACCGAATTATTCGAATATCGCATTTGAAGATAAAAAATCGATCTCAATCATATTAGTACGCGGGCATTCGAACGAACAATTATTCAATGAGGCAGACTCGAAGAGGAGATATTATACGGATCTCGGTTTCAAAACTTCAAAGATTCAAATGCCGACGTTTCAAAATGTTCAACTATTCAAAAAATCGAATAATCTTCAATATTTTCGAAATGTTTGGATGCTTGAAAATCAAAAACGAATATTCGTCTCAGTTACACTCAGCGATTGTTTGTGGTGAAAGCTTAGCAAGCCCTGGCAAGGCTGTGAAGTTCGGGAAAA